CCGCAATCCCTTCTCCTCCATTCTCCTCTCGGGATCTTGGGCACGCACGCACACGCGCCCGGCGTGAGCTTTAAGCCACCGGGTCCGGGACACGAACCGCGGTCGACTACGTGGGAGTCCAGCGACATAGCCATTACGCTAACTGCTGGTTCCCTCCTATGAGATTTTTGGGCACACATGCATATGCGCCCAGTGTGAGTTTCATGCCACCAAGTCCAGGGCTCAAAGCACAGTAGGCCTTGTGGAAGTCCAGCAGCTTAACCACCATGCCAACTGCCGGACCTTACTGTTTGTTTTTTAAACAAGGGAGGTAGCACAAAATCAGTCAAAGATCAGAAAATCTTTCACTTATTACCTTCACCACTAACTAGCTAGGACTGATGATTAATTTCTTTTTAAATTCACTTTCCTCATGTGCAAGATGAAATACTGAGAAAGAGGAGATGGCCTCTGAGATCCCTCTTGCTCTAAAACTCTACAGCTTCATAAAAAACTCTCCAAAGATCCATATGGAAAATGAAATGGAGAAAGTGTTTTACTATTAACTATGACTTAGGACAGGAGAAAGAAAGCATCTTAAGTCAGAGTACAAACAAGCAAATCCAGTTTCGAGATAAATATTGCTTAATTCTCTTAGAGCAGACGACAGAAAAGACAGCTCTCGACTTTCCTTATTGGGAAAATAAAGAGGAGACAAGTCATCTTATACTTCTATGTGACTTCAAAACACACACGCATGCAACTTCAGGGTACAGGAATTAATTTCCCTTCTTCTCTTTATACTGATGAGTCAGCCCTGAAATGATGTTAGCAGATTGAATGGAGAAGGCCAAACTGATTTTGTTGTACATAGTTATTATCTGAGGTCAGTATAGAATGCCTGAGTGAGTGTGATCAATATTTCTTCTGCAAAAGACATTTATAAAATAAAATTTTTCATCTTTTAATGAAGCTGTTTAAGTGTAACTGGTAACATTTAAGTGCTTTAACCAGGCTAAGGAAAAACATCTCACCATGGTTTTTGATTGTACCAGGCGCTATGTTAAATGCACTACATGTACTACCTTGCTGAACTTTAACAAATGTTCACCAGGCCATACACTGTCCTAGGTGCTGGCTGGGGAGACAGAAAAACAGCACAAGTCCTTGAATTTATGGGGCTCACAGTCTAACAGAATGAGGACAATTGAGCTCTCTATGAAATATCATGGCACTTACTCTGTTTAGAAAGAATGTGGCCGGCCACTGGCACGATGGTTTAGGCAGCTAGACCCCACACGGCTGAGTGTGCAGGTGTGGCCAAAATTCCAAAAGGAGAGATGGAGGAGAAGGGATTTGGGTATACCATCCACTA